AAGGTCAGCCCTAGAGGATACCACGAAGGTCACTCTAGCCGAGTCTTTTCCAACTCCTTTTCCTCCTTCCACTAATTGATTCCGAGGCGGCGGAATCGACTGCTACAAAACTTTCCGAGGCACACCACAATCTCCCCGGTGCTCTCCGTGACGTCTAACCGCTCTAGGACCGAAGAGTCCAAGAGTAACAAATGCTAATCACGAGATTGACAATATGCACAAGTGCTCAAGTGGTTGGATGGCTCTCTTTGAATTTCACTCAACCCACAAATTGATTTTGCAAGTTTGATCAATCACTCACTAAGAGAGGGTTGGCAAGGCTCAAAAACGTGTGTCTAAGTCAAGAGAATCAGCACCTCAAAAGGTGGAGGCTTGGGGTATTTATAGCCCCTTGAAAAACTAGCCGTTTTATAGCCGTTGCAATAATACCGGACACGTCCGGAGATGCATACCGGACACGTCCGGTATGATTCACATCATACCAACGGTAACTAAGTTACTGATGATGTTGTGAGGCATCGGAACTCCCGAAGAATGCCGGGACTTCCGACCGTCGGAACTCCCGACTCAAGTCGGAACCCCGACCCTCGGTAATTTTGAAAAACATGTAATCGAAGTTAAAGTTAGTGAGGTGTCGGAACTCCCGACATATGTCGGAACTCCGACCGTCGGAACTCCGACATACGCCGGAACTCCCGACCCTCACGGCTTTTGAAAACTAGCCGTTGGCTTCGGGTCATCCATACCGGACACGTCCCGGTGTGAATACCGGACACGTCCGGTATGACCGGAGACGATGAAACCTCAAAGTGTGTTGAAGTGCGAGACGCCGAACTCCCGACTCATGCCGGACTCCCGACCGTCGGAACTCCCGACCTACGTCGGAACTCCCGACGGCAACCCGAGAACAACAATTTTGCAAATTGTTGACAAATACGGACACGTCCGGTATGAATACTGACACGTCCGGTATTGCTGCACCAAAGAAGAAATCGATTAGCACATTTGTCGCTCAAATAATCAAACCTCACATGGGTTGGCTTGAGCACTTATGAAACATTATCTATCAACATGATGCATCCCTCTTAATAGTACGGCATACCTATTAAACTCAAGATCAAAAGAAAAATGAATTTATACCACTTGAGTTGATTTCTTTTGAATTGATGCCGTCCCTTCCAATCTTCATCAAGTAAGGGTGCTAACAAGTTGATGTTGATCTTTTCATTTGAGCATAGCCATCTTGAGCATGTGACTTGATTCCATTCATCAAATTTGAATAACCCCAAATGTATCAAGTCACTTCCATCAAATACTTCATTATAGATTTGATTCTTCACATCAATATGACCATCTTAGCTTGATTAGTATCTCAACTAAATGCAAGTACTTTCTTCTTCACCCTAGCTAGGTTCTTCGGCCGCCAAGCCGTCGCTTGCCCTTCACCCTTGCTTAGTACCTCGAAGCCTTTCCTTGCTATCTTCACCATCTCAAGCCATCAAGTCACATCTTGTGTTGAATCATCCATTCATATGTATTGTTATCTTTTTCATTTTAATTTAGCAAGCTTCAAATATGAGACCATTCCATATGCAATCCCTCATGTCTCATTAACTAATAATCATGAGCTTGCTTTCACATAGTCAATGGAAATCCCACAAAAAATAAGCCTTCACATGAATTCCATTTGCATTGTTGTCTTGTGCTCGAACTAGATTGTTTATACAACAACACATCATTTTGGCTTTCATTAAGTACCTGTGAGATAACCTATTACCTGTTCACACTTAGCAAACGGGTTAGTCCTTTAATCACGTTGTCATTCAATCAACCAAAACCCACTAAAGGGCTAGATGCACTTTCAGCCGGTCAAACATACAGTAACCAGCACGCCTCCAACAGAAGAAGGTGCACCTGCCACCACAGGAGCTCCCACGTCGCACGGGATCAAGCGTGATCGGCGCGTCGCTCCAGTGCACGGAGGACAAGACCGCTCCACCGACCACGCCACCATAGTGACAAGCTATAGGGCTCGGACATGCCGCCCCTGCCAATGAACGCCACATAGCAAATACATGTACCGCCCCAGTGCCTCCCTTCGACTATAAAAGGGAGTGACCAGGGCCGCTTCTAAGGGGGGAGACACCCAGGCAAGCAACGCACAACGCTCTGTAACACACACGCTCCCTCACTGCAAGATATCAACATCTCAAGCAACCCACGCCACTCCACGCAGAGACCTGGGACTAGCACCCTCTCTCGCTCAGCTTGTAAGCCCCTACTACAAGCACCTCGGTGCAAGGAATACAAGATCGCTCTCTCAGACTAGACGTAGGGCACCTATTGCCTGAACCAGTATAAACCTTGTGTCTCTTTGCATCACCATCCGGGATTAGGAACACGCAGTACACTTTCACTAGTTGGTTGAGGACCCCCCGGTCCAAAACGCCGACACATGGGCTCTTCAACGTCTTCTTTGTCTTAGTTGTAGTATTTGTCATGTTACTTACACAATTTTACAACTATTCATAGAAAGGTTACAATCTCCTCGGTTTACTCCGTACTTTGATAATTGCATTGGAGCTATAGATGGGACATATGTACCTATCACTGTGCTAACTAAGAAGGTAGTCCAGTACACAGGAAGGAAAGGAATCTCCACTCAGAATGTGTTAGCCGTATTTGACTTCGATATGAGATTTACTTTTGTTCTGGCTGGATGGCCATGCTCAGTTCATGATATGAGGGTGTTCAATTATGCACTTGAGAAGTTTGGTGACAAGTTTCCACAACTACCTGAAGGTATGCATGGGCTCTTCAATGTCTTCTTTGTCTTAGTTGTAGTATTTGTCATGTTACCTACACAAGTTTACAACTATTCATAGAAAAGTTACAATCTCCTCGGTTTGCTCCGTACTTTTGATAATTGCATTGGAGCTATAGATGGGACACATGTATATGTCACTATGCCAACTGAGAAGGTAGTCCAGTACACAGGAAGGAAAGGAATCTCCACTCAGAATGTGTTAGCCGTATGTGACTTTGATATGAGATTTACTTTTGTTCTGGCTGGATGGCTAGGCTCAGTTCATGATATGAGGGTATTCAATGATGCACTTGAGAAGTTTGGTGACAAGTTTTCACATCTACCTAAAGGTATGCATGGGCTCTTCAATGTCTTCTTTGTCTTAGTTGTAGTATTTGTCATGTTACTTACACAAGTTTTGTGTTGTGTAGACAAATTTTATCTCGTTGACTCAGGGTACCCAAATCGACCGGGTTTTCTTGCACTGTACAAAGGTACAAAATACCATGTCCCCAAATGGAGAGAAGGCCGTGCGCCTAGAGGTAAAAAAGAGCTGTTTAATTACACACATTCTTCACTTAGAAATGTCATGGAGAGATCTTTTGGAGTTCTAAAGATGAAGTGAAGAATTTCGTTGGATTTGCCTAGTTTTCCCATGGCAAAGCAAAGCAAAATAATAATAGCATGCATGACACTGCACAATTTCATTAGACGGAGTGGTATGATGGATGACCTCTTTGACTTGTGTGATCAAGATGAAAACTATATCCCAAATGAGGAAGGAACTTCAACTCAGGAAGGAACTTCAACTCAAGCAACTGGAGGCACTACACATTATGGAGACGAAAATGAAAACATGAATCAATTTCGTGATTGGATAGTGAATGGTTTGTTTGCAATGTCATAGATGCACCATGGTTTGTAATAATGAAGTTTTTTTGTAAACAATTTGAACATTGTTTGTGAGTGAGAATGAACATTGCGGCAAAGCTAGCATAGGCGCCAAGTAGAGCAGGTGCGTGCGCGATGGCGCCAAAGCCATGCGCGCGGAAAACCAGGGGAGCGCGCGCGGGAGCCAGCAGCGTGGCCTCCGTCGCGCCAAAAAGCCAGGGGCAGGTTCCCATTAATTAGAGGTGTTTTGGTCATTCTAAACAGGCACATGTCAGGTTTAGTCCCATTTAGTCCACCTAACCAAATAGGGCCTGACTAAATTTTAGGAGGCAGTTTAGCTGACTAGTTTTAGGAACCGGAACCAAACATGGCCTAAGTGTCTACAATAAAACCTCTCTCTAGAGGGTACTTATATTGCTACGTGTTAATAGGCTCACGGCCATCTCATGCAGTGATGTATAAGATTTCTCATGTAGTGCTATATAAGATATTTTTACAAGTATAAAGGAGAAAGGAAATTGCTAGAGAGAGTGGTTTTGCAGAACAATGGCCCGTAATCTAAAATTGAGAACTATAAGACCTGTACGGTTATATTAGTTGTTACCAACTCACAACATTTTTGTCAATGTATAAATTAAGAAATTATGAGTTCCTATGAGACGGATGCTCATATGTGCACACGTGGTCATCATTTTCTACGAGCATCTTCAAAAGACTTGAGTTATAAGATTTCAGAAATGATAAGATTACAGTAGATGTTTCGTTGTCGACGGGCACATCGCCTACTACTGTTAAATCCTAGAATAAATTCAGCTCGTGTCGAGAACATAGAACTAGGTAGGCAGATTCTACCACAAGAAACCTAATCAAACCCTCGTTACATGATGTTTACTAAGATAAATGTCTATTAAGATAGCTCAAGACTACGAGACACTCTTTGCATGCATCCACAGCTCCTAAGGTGTCCCCAACAGTGGTGAAATCACCAGCTGAGGTGAGTTTTTTTTTTTGACAGAGGAGAGGGAGTAACATGCTAGCGCTATCCGCTTTTGCTCAGTCATGACCTAGAGCCTTCGGAACATGGAGCTAATCTTCGATAATGGCAATGAGCAAGGAAGCTTCATCGGCATCTGGCGCCTGATCATCTGCAGTAAACAGAGGAGAGATTGTCAGTTCAAACTTCAATACAACATGATGGCACAAATGGTCTATGTTTTTCTCAGAAAGTGTAGCTTCCGTAACAATTCGAATCTTATACCTGAGGGCAGGTTGGAAATGATCTGTTCAACTATTCTACCGCCATTCACATCACGCCCCTTCTCCTCGCCCTTGCTACCACCATGACCAGCGTCGCCGGTGCTCTTCTTGGCATCATCCTCAGGTTCCCGTTGCCATTGGCGCCTGACACGGCCACACCGATCTTGGAAGCCACCGCGCTAAGAATGCCGCCACCATTGGCTTCCTCCCCCTTCTTCTCTTCACCATTATTGCCACGAACCGCTTCACCATTGCTCGTCTTGGCGTCGTCGTGCCCGCTGTCGCCACGGCTGTCATCGCCATTCGCACCAGACATGGCCATGCCGATCTTGGTGGCCATGGCGCTCAGAATCCCGGCTTGCTCACCTGCCACGTCCTGATCTTTCACCTCCTCTGTTTCCATTGCTCCTACACGAATCAATCGGTCGATCAAAAGGATACACTGCAAAGATGCAAACATTTTCTGATCCAACTGGCCGCGGAGACAGGACAACAGATACTCCTTGGTCGCACTGACCTCGCCGCCGCTCCCGCCATTGGTCCCGGACATCGTCGCGCCGATCTTGGACGCCATGGCACTCAGGAATCTGCCCTCCTCACCTGGCTTGCCGCCGCCGCCGCCAACACCACCGGCCTCCACTACTTCTTGACGCGCTTTCTTGTGCGGCGTCGTCTCGCTCTGCTCCTCCTCCTCCTCCACGCCCACCGAATCCTCTATCTTCTGGAAACGAAACCGCTAGAACTAAGCTCTCGACCAGCACATACGAAAACGAAACAGATCAGCCGGAGAGCAGAGGAGGAGCCGTGCCGCAGGCGGCTATTTTATAGCCGCTCGACGCGGGTGCTACACGCGTCCGGCGAGGACGGGGCTGCCCTTCTCGGAACGCGTAGCCTGGCGCGCGCTGATTGGCTCCTCCTGCGGCGTTTTTTCAATTCGTTTTGTGCTTTGGGCTTTGGCTTTTACTCCTCTTTCTGCGGGCGGGCGGGCGGTGAGATGTCGGGTGGACGGTGGATCGGGAAACGCAGGGTCTGTCGGTGGACGGTCGAGATGCTGTACGAGGCAACAGAGACAGCTTCTACGATATCAAATCTTCTAACAGAAAACATCCAACAACATCAAAGTGGCGCAGCGGAAGCGTGGTGGGCCCATAACCCACAGGTCCCAGGATCGAAACCTGGCTTTGATATATTTTTCAATTTTTTTGCCCAATTTAGAGGGGTTGCCTTTGATATATTTTTCATTTTTTTAGCCCAATTTAGATTCTCTTTTCACCCTTTTCAAAAATTTTTTTGCCCAATTTAGATTCTCTTTTCATTTTGCAACCGGGTGTTTGCCATTCACATGCCAGAGCGCACATTTGGACGAATCGAACCTCTCTAGCATTTCTCCATCTCATTTCATATACAGCTGATGAACTGATCACATCTTCCGCAAGTTCATGACGCGTAGTACGTCCAGCACAGAAGCGATGATGCGCAGTGCTGAGGACCTGATCTGCTCCGGGGCCAAGGCCAATGCAAAACCGATTTGGCGGCGCTGATGTCGTGAAAATCATCATGTCCAACTCGTGAAAATTTTAAACCTCACCATCACCCCCAACGATAAGATTATTACCCGCACCAACCAGCAGCTAAACCCCTCGCCTAATAGGCTGTTGATTTGCCGGAGGGAAGCAGTTGCACACGCGCCCTATTATACTGCCGCCACCGCCATAAACAACGAGGAAACCAGCGTTTCTTCCCTAATCTAACCATTTCCTGAGTGATTGACACTAACCATGCCGTGGCTAGTTAAATCTTAAATGAGGGGGAGGGGATCACGCCTTCGTCGCGTGCCTCCACCTCCCCTGACGCCCCCAACATGTTGTTACCGTGGCTGTGGCAGCCGGCCTCCTCCTCTCCATCCATATGTACTAGCAGTATCACCTTTCTGCAGCGGTGATCTCATCTCGTCTCCGGGAGGCATCGTTGTCAGAGCTCTCTCGAGCTCGCCAGCGCCACTGCGCGCGGTGGTTGGTCGTCGTCGTCGAGGCCGGCCGACCGATGGGGAGGCCGCCGTGCTGCGACAAGGCGAACGTCAAGAAGGGGCCGTGGACGCCGGAGGAGGACGCCAAGCTGCTGGCCTACACCTCCACCCATGGCACCGGCAACTGGACCAACGTGCCCCAGAGAGCAGGTGATCGTGCCGTGCACCAGGCCAGGCCAGATGAGGGCCTGTGTGTGTGTGTGATGATATCTCTGCGTGCATGTCATTTTGTTTTGTTTTGGCTGACGGATGACAAGGCGTTGGATGGACGGTGCGGCATGATGTGATGATGCAGGGCTGAAGAGGTGCGGCAAGAGCTGCAGGCTGAGGTACACTAACTACCTGCGTCCCAACCTGAAGCACGAGAACTTCACCCAGGAGGAGGAAGACCTCATCGTCACCCTCCACGCCATGCTTGGAAGCAGGTACACAGTACAGTGCTGCAAATCATGTACAGTATATGGTCATTTGATTTGTTTCCACAGCAACTACTTCTATAACATGCATTTGCATCATCTTTCAGACTTCTCACTTAGTAACAGAATAGTGTTTAGATCCTTTGTAGTATTGCTCTTTCAGAAAAAAAAAGGATCCTTTGTAGTACTACAGATAAAGGCGATTTATTATCTACTATCTCAATTCAGTTTCGAAACTAATTATCTCATTAGAGAGTGTTGCTGCACTGAAGATCTGAATTATGTTAGACACGTCCTATAGTACTTATAAGGGTAAAAGATTCTAAAAAAAATTCTGACTCCAGCTAGTGTACATGATTCTTGGACATTGTTGTGCGGCAAAAGAATAAGCATATGTTTCACATGAAAATTCCTAGTAATCGGGTGTTTTGAAAGATGGAGTCTTCAGGATCTGATTCTGAATCTTATTAATGAACTAGCTTAAATTTAAAACCAATCGTAGCAATGCAATTTTCTAGAGCAATTGACCTCTTCATTCCAAACAAGCCCTAGAAAGTAGAAACGGACAGCTAGTTCAGTAGTTCTGGCATCAGCGCCGTTGCTGATGGATCGAACCCTTGATGCGAATGAAAACGACATGACACCGTCGGGGAGACCGTTGGAGTTCTGAGCGATAACGAACTGTACGTACAGTGTGACATACACAATGCGTGCCCCATTCAAAGTTGATTGGAATCGATGCCTCCAGTGCCAGATCACTCTCGTAGTCTCGTAGCCATAGGATTATTACTATTACACTACACTCATAGTTGCTAGGGTAGATGATCTTGAGATGCATCTTAATTTATCGCTAGTTATTAGTACTCCTACTATATGTTTCAGTTAACCTGCAATGGAAATTGTAGTGCGATCGAGCCATGCATTGCCTGCATCGTAGATGTCTGGCACGTCGTCGATGACTCGATGGTGCGCTGATCTGGGCGGCGATCGAACTGCATGCGTTTTGCAGGTGGTCTCTGATCGCGAACCAGCTGCCGGGGCGGACGGACAACGACGTGAAGAACTACTGGAACACGAAGCTGAGCAAGAAGCTGCGGCAGCGCGGGATCGACCCCATCACCCACCGCCCCATCGCCGACCTCATGCACAGCATCGGCGCGCTCGCCATCCGCCCGCCGCAGCCGCTGGCGCTCTCTCCCAACGGCGGCTCCACCGCCTACCTTCCCGCGCCGGCGGCGCTCCCGCTCGTCCACGACGTCGCGTACCACGCGGCTGGCATGCTGCCACCGATGACGCCCGCGCAGCAGCAGCAGCAGGTCGTCATCGCACGCGTGGACGCGGACGCGCCCGCGTCGCCGACGACGGAGCACGGCCAGGGCCAGGAGCTCAAGTGGAGCGACTTCCTCGCCGACGACGCCGCCGCCGCGGCGGCCGCGGCTGAGGCTCAGCAGCAGCAGCAGGTTGTTCTTGGGCAGTACCACCACGAGGCGGCCGCCGCCGCCGGCGCAGGCAGCGGCGTCGCCGTGCACGGCGCTGGGAGCAGCAGCGCTGCGGCGACCGGCGGTGACGACGGTGGCATTGTTGGTGTCGGTGGCGGCGGCGGCGGCGACGGCGCGGCGGCGTTCATCGACGCCATCCTGGACTGCGACAAGGAGACGGGGGTGGACCAGTTCATCGCCGAGCTGCTGGCTGACCCGGCCTACTACGCGGGTTCCTCGTCGTCGTCGGAGATGGGCTGGGGCATTGGCCTGCTGAATGCTGATTAATTAGTGGTTATGCAAAACTCATCAGACTGCTTATATGCTGCTTTGATCCAGTTACTATGAACTTCGTTATCAGGTAGTCAGTCAGCTGGTCAAACCTGCCGAGCTGATCCATTCATATGCTTGCACTGACTCTGGGTATTTTCGGGTTATTATTACTTGTACGGATAATTAACGTCGTTTGTGTGTGTGTTTTATTCCTTTTCCTAGAGGAAACTGTGTTTGCGTGGTGCGTTACTACAGCTCCTCTTCCTCAAAAATAGCTTCTAAAAGAAAATATTTGTCAGGAGCTCCTCCGCATGAGCTAGAGGCCCGGCCAAAAGGCCTTAATCAAGGCCGGGTTTAGTTGGTGATTTTTTTTTAGAAACAATAATGTAGCACTTTCGTTATTATTTGGTAATTAGTGTCTAATCATAGTCTAATTATGTTTAAAAGTTTTGTCCCGTGAATTTCGTCTAAACTGTATAATTAGTTTTATTTTTTATTTATATTTAATGCTTCGTATATACGTCTAAAGATTCGATGTGACGAAAATTTTTAAAAAATCTTGTAAAATTTTGGAAACTAAACAGTCACCAAGCGGCTGGTAACTTGGCACGTCTCCCGGCAGCTGAAAAATCACGGGGCCCTGTAACCATCAGGCTTTGCGTTGCATCGGCCGCCACCACACACACAGCGAGTCAGGGACACCGGACACCGCGAGATTCCACGCCCTGGCCGGCCCGTCCCTATCATCAGTTCCCTCACGGTCTAGGTATTATTTTCGTTTGTATTTGGTAGAAATTATCTAATTATAGACTATTTAGATTTAAAAGATTCGTCTCATCAATTATAGATAAACTATGTAATTAATTATTTTTTTATCTATATTTAATGTTCCGTCGTAAGATTTGATGTGACAAAAAATCTTAAAAATTTTGGATTTTAGGTGGTATCTAAACATGGCCTTTGCCAATGGCCACTTACCACGGATCAGTGTAAGAAAAAGAAAGCAAGAAAAGTCGTTAGCACGCAAACACACGGCACGAGCAATCGAGCACCATGGCTGGTCCCCGGCGCCGCCTCCTCCTGCCGCCGCTCGTGCTCCTCCTCGTCGCCGCCGGCGCGATCCTCCTGCCGCAGCGCGGGTCCGCGGAGGAGGGGAAGGTCTCCCTGGAGCTCTACTACGAGTCGCTGTGCCCGTACTGCTCGCGGTTCATCGTGAACCACCTCGCGGGGATCCTCGAGGACGGGCTCATCGACGCTGTCCACCTCCGCCTCGTCCCCTACGGCAACGCCCGCGTCGGGTCCAACAGCGAGATCTCGTGCCAGGTACTAAAATTTCCAATCATCGCAAAACTGTCAATGAATCGCTCAATTACTGATCTGGCCTTTCTTCGGTTTGCTTAGCCCTTGTTAAGTTCTCCAAAATGCACGGTGCAAAAAGAAGATTTCATGTTACATTAAACTCGTGGTATATGTATAGAGTACTAAATGTAGACGAAATCAAAAACTAATTATATGTATAGAGTATTAAATGTAGACGAAATCAAAAACTAATTGTACAGTTTGCTTTAACTTTGCGAGATGAATCTTTTAAGCCTAATTAGTTAATGTTTGGACAATAATTCATAAATATAAACGAAATGCTACATTAAAGAATCGTGCACTGTACCGAACTAAACGCGCCCTTAGGCCTTGTTTAGATTGCCTCAAAATTTCAAATTTTTTCACTCTCTCTCTATCACATCAATTTTTGAACGCATGCATGGAGCATTAAATGTAGATAAAAAAATAACTAATTACACAGTTTGGTTGTAAATCACGAGACGAATCTTTTGAGCCTAGTTAGTCTATAATCAGACAAAATTTATCAAATACAAATGAAACATGCTACAGTATCTAGATTACAAAAATTTACAATCTAAATAAGGTCTTAGTTTGCTTACAAAAGAAGGTAGTAGTACAACGATACTGTGCGCACGGTAGCGGTCGTGCAAGCGTGGCATGTTAGCGCCCACACTTTCGTGGCTTCGTGCTCACCGGAACCTGTTCGCTTATCGTTTTTTTTTTCTTATAAGTCGGCTGACGTTGTTTTCGCTGGGAGAGAAAAATATTATATCATGGCTGATAAATATAGCTGATATGATCAAGCGAACAGGATAGCTATGGAAAGCGCAGTAATGTGCACGTGTTATATACCTTATCGTCCTATCAGTATCAAGCGCTCTGAACGCAACTGCTGCAGTAGTATCAACGCACAAGATAAGTGCCTAAACTTGCCCCTAACTCTTGACTACATTTTGCCATCCAGACGCGGATAATTGACTAAGGCTTCGTTCGTTTACAGCCTGGAACTGTTCGATAATTAGTTACAAAATACTTTTGCTCTTTCGCAAACCACATGCTTTCAATATAGACATATGGCCCCGTTCGCTGGTCTGAAATTTAGCTGAAACTGGCTGAAAAATACTGTTCCGGCTGAATTGGTGTGAGAGAAAAACACTGTTCCGGATGAAAAAAAGAAGCCGAACAAGCCATTTTTAAGACAAGCGAACGGGGCCTAATACTACTTGTGTTAGTACCTTGTACTCTCTCTGTTCCAAATTATAAGTCGCTTTGACTTTTTTGGTATATTTTATTTTGCTATGTATCAAGATATAATAATATGTCTAGATTTATAGCAAAATACTATGTATCAAGATATAATAATATATCTAGATTTATAGCAAAATATATGAATCATAAAAGTCAAAGCATCTTATAATTTAAAATAAAGAGAGTAATATTTTTTATTGCATCAGCACGAACCACGAAGGGTAACCACCGACATTTTTCTAGTCACGTTCCATTCCATCAACTAGTGTACTCAACTGGTTGACCATTGAGAGATATTAAATGGCCCTGTTTGCTTGAACCTATCAGCCTAACTTATCAATACAGTGTTTTTCTTTCACAACGAAACAGCATCAGTTAGCTTAACTGTCGCAAAAATCATCAGCCGAACAACACTCAAGTGTAAAAGATAACTCGTGCAATAACATCACTATAGTTGTAGTGGACCGCTTGCAACAATATATCACTGTAGCGGCAGTTGATCTCCACGCTATCACTACATAGAGGACTAAAAAAAATATAGCATATTAAAATTTAGCAACAACGCTCAATATTAAGTTTGCTGTAGCTTTTTAGGCCATTATTCACAGTGGAAAGGTTCAAACGTCAATGTAAGGAGCTGTTTGGCACCGCTCCGGCTGCCTCTAGCTCCTTCTGCAAATACTATGCCGCATTGCGCAGCCCTGTGCTGTACTGTAGCACGGAGCCGGCCGGCTTAGTAGTCGGAGGCGGAGCGGAGCCAGCTCCTCCAAGTTGGCCCTAAATGGTTTAAATGGCAATAAGAATGTTGAAAATGGTGGTTTAGGTGGTAAAGAAGAATTGCTCTGTTTGTTTGGCTGATAAGCCATGGCTGAAAGTATTTTTGACTGATTTGTTGTGAAAGAAAAATATTGTTCGTTGGCCGAAAAAGTACGGCTTATAAGCTGAGCGAACAGGGTGAATACTGGGATCTAGAATGGTGTTCCTTTTTATTGGTACGAGAATTAAAAGTTAATTTGCCTTCTATGTCTTCTTTATATCTTGTCATTTGTGTTTTCTTTGTGACGTACACCATAAAAATGCAATAATGAATTAGAAACTTCTAAGTATGTTAAGCACTGACTTGATGTCAGTATTGATATGCTCCAAAATTTTGGCTATTTTTCAGACTTTCCAATTGGCACCCCCATTTGCAGTCCGCTATCAAGACACTTAACTAATCATCTACGGAGTACTGCTCTGCTCTCACGACATTCTCTCGCTCACCGTAATTGTCAGTTGCTTACGCAGAAAAGAACACAGCACCTTCACCTTATCCGCATACGCATCCGTTGCTGGCTTCCCTCGTACTCTTTCGGGATGTTCTTTGCAGTACGCACGGTCGCAGTCGCGGACTCGCGGTCGCAGGCTGTTTACGCTTTGCACAAGCGAGGCAACTCCAATCTGGTCCAGGATCCCGTCCGCATTCACGAGCTCGGTCGGTCGGTCCCACGGTCGCTGCTCTTGAGACACGCACCGCGTCCCACGTGGCCCACGTGGGGCCCTCTCATGCTCGTCTCGGTCTGGTAAATAACGGCGCGCGGCCGGCGCACGTGGCCACAGCCATCACCCCACGCGGCGACCTACCTTGGCATTCCGACCGATCCCATCCAATGGCCACCCGCCTCGCCATCGCCGCGCTCCTACTGCTCGCCTCCGCCTCCTCCGCCGCCGCCGCCGTGGTCGGCGAGGAGGGGGCCGGGAAGGTGGCCGTGGCGCTGTACTACGAGTCGCTGTGCCCCTACTCGGCGCGCTTCGTGGTGAACCACCTCGCCAAGGTCTTCGTGGACGGCCTCCTCGAGGTCGTGGACCTCACGCTCGTCCCCTACGGCAACGCCCGGATCCACCCCGGCGGAGTGATCTCCTGCCAGGTAGAGCGCCGGCCAATCCGCTCCTCGCGTTTTCTTTGCAGCTTCGTCCGGAATTGCGGTCCTTGAATTCGCATCCTGGGTGTCACTGCTTGCTGGAGTAGAGTACTAGTTAATCTGAGACAGAATTGGGGATTTTGTTGTTAATTACTCTTAGTATAGTCTTGCAGTAGCAGTAATTGCTGATGCTAACACAGTAACACTGCTGAGCTGATGGTGGTTATTGTTGCAGCATGGTCCGTACGAGTGCCTTCTCAACACCGTGGAAGCTTGCGCCATCGACGCCTGGCCGGATTTGGTAATTCCTCTCTCCTCCTAAGCTCTGCCCACTCATAGGGCTTTGACCTGCAAGAATGACTCCACGAAACTCCGGATAGAACGGTAAAACGTGCAACAAGCCGATCGACAACCGGTTGATCAAAATGAATCTGCCATTGACAAATTAGCAGTTTTTTTTTGAAATAAAGACAAATTAGCTGTTGCACTCTGTGATCAAAGCTTCCGGGTCAAACCGACACCATTTCTGCAGTTTTCTCAAGCAAATCTTGTTACTTTTGTAGTCATTCTCAACGTTTACGTGTATGCCTCTGTCGTTGTTGTTGGGTACAGGATGTGCATTTCAGTTTCATCTACTGCGTGGAGGGCCTGGTGGTGAAGCGCCAGTACAAGGATTGGGAGTCCTGCTTCCAGAAGCTGGGCCTCGACCCCAAGCCTGTAACACAATGCTACAACAGCGAACTTGGCCACAAGGTCCGTCCTCAATTCTTCTTCGGCTAGCTTTTTCTAGTACTACTTCTTTGTGCTGCTATACCACTTCTATCCCATCTCTCGCATGTCGCATTCTCTTGTAATTGTAATTCAATGCATGTTCTAACCGCAGTATGAATTTGCATCTTGTTCATTGATTTGTTCCAGCTTGAGCTGGAGTACGCGAACCAGACTAACGCTCTCGAGCCCCCGCACCGGTACGTCCCCTGGGTGGTCGTCGACGGGCAGCCCCTGTTCGAGGCAAGTTCCACCTGGACTTCAACTGCATCCATGGCTCACCCTTCACCTTGCCCAACTGTTTGATCAAACTCATTCCATTGGCGGTGATGATTGATGAATATGTTTTCGTCGTTTCAGGATTACGAGAATTTCGAGGCTTACATCTGCAAGGCCTCCAAGGGCACTCCACCGAAGGCCTGCGAGGGGCTGGGACGTCTGCAGATGGCGCTCGAGACAGCGGAGGCGCGAAACGGCGTCAGCTACAACTCCGGCGTCAGCAAGCTTGCAACTGCTGCTGAAGATGGGGGTAGGGAGCAGTAAAGGTGTGGCTGAGAGAATACTAATTGATTAGCTATGTGTCCTTTTGGGTCATGTGAACATAAGAACATTACGGCTGCGTTCGTTTGGCAGGGAAAGGTGTCCAACAACCATTCCTATCAGGAATGTTAGTGTAATTGATATAGTCAATCCTTATCAATAACTATTCCTGACCAGGAATGGCCATAAACGAATGAGCCCTACGTAGGGCCGTTTCATCTTGCTCTCCAGGATACACAATTTATGGGGCCTGTACATCATACAGTAATAGCTAATATAGTAATAACATTATATAGTTGTTGCTGTTTATTATTATAATAACATTTTTTATTCTCTTCAAAAATATATACATTATGTCTAGACACATAGTAGAAACAATATATCTAGAAAACCAAATCATCATAGAATTTGGAAATTTGGAACGGATGGAGTAGTTTTTTAATGCAATATCACTGACCCCAAAGAGAGAAACATATGATCCCGAAGGACCTAACTTCCTTTAGGCTGCGTTCGTTTGGTAGGGAACGGTTTTCAGAAACCATTCGTACCAGGAATGCTAGTGTAATTTATATAGTCAATCCTCCTCGAGAACTATTCCTAGCCAGGAATGACCATAAACGAACGAGCCCTACATAGGGCCGTTTCATCTTGCTCTCCAGGATACACAATTTATGGGGCCTGTACATCGTACAGTAATAGCTAATATAGTAATAACATTATATAGTCGTTGCTGTTTATTATTATAATAACATTTTTATTCTCTTTAAAAATATATACATTATGTCTAGATGCATAGTAGAAACAATATATCTAGAAAACCAAATCATCATATAATTTAGAAATTTGGAACGGATGGAGTAGTTTTTTAATGCAATATCACTGACCCCAAAGAGAGAAACATATGATCCCGAAGGACCTAACTTCCTTTAAGATAAACATACCAGATATTTGGGTCAGGTATTGAACAAGATTCTTCGTGGGGTAGTTCTACTATTTCTACGAAGCAGTATATTTTAGAAGTGTGGCAAAGCGATGGAAGGAATCGAGAATGGGATGAACCCATCTACGAAATGCGAGCAGATATCAAAAATTCAAAATTCATGGATAGAGTATTGAACGAAGTCTAGCTCATTGCACAAGTCATACAAGACAATTACAGTATGTGCTAACGTACACCAATCCTCGGTGTGCGTTGCAACTCGCCAGTCCACCACCTTACACACCAAAGCCGTCAGCTAAAATAGAGCTTGTCTATAGCCCGTTATCTAGACGAAGCCAAACCAAAGAATATACTAGCACAAAAGCACAACCCCCCGGATAACTTCTGCTAAAGACGTAAATAATCAATACTTTGATCTGATGTAAAAAATGGATGCTTTCCCTCAAGGTGCCACCAGCCATGTCCTGCTACTCCCTTCTGGGCCTCTGGTACATCCAACAAAAAATTACAATGATAGTTGATCTGCACCACCGGAATTCTAAGCTAATTAAAACATCAATTGCTCCTCTCATACATCGTGCAGCTCAATCCCAGGATGTTACAGACAATGCAACCCAAAGATCATTAGATGTCCCAGATATATACATCCTATGTGTCTGGATCTGCTCATCGTTGGTACATAATGGGGTTGGGCTCGAATAATGACCGTTGCTTATTCTTTCCTGGACTGAGAATATGATTTCCCTTTGCATCGGTTCATGGCCATTCAGAAGATTTCCCATGCTCAAAACTTTCCTCCAAGACTGATTAGCAGTAGGGGGAGGAAACAGGTTCGATACAGCATCTCTCTCATACATCCCGACCTTTTCCTTAGTTGTGAACTCCTAATATAGAATATTAAAAGAATATCAGGAAGATAGCCTCAGAAAATTTATCAGCAAAAGAAAATAACAGCTTGCCTAGGCACAGCAAGAAACTAATAGAGTAATATCAGTCTTAGAGAACAAGAAGATTTGGAGTAAACAAAAAAAACGAATGAAAAGAACACCGTGAGGAATAAAAATATCACTAGTCCACCCCCACATGGCCACATGATCTGGCTGAAAAATGTAAGCAAAACAGTGTGACAGAGAAGAAGCTTGCAGCTTACTACTATACAAATCAGAAGTTCTCACATGGCTATAATATGTAATGACTACCACCAACTTGTAGAGAAAAACTTAGGTGGTAGAGCAATATCTTCATATTATGGAAACCCTTGAGTTTCCAGTGTCTAATAACTGTCGGATAAATTTCAAGAACTGCATCGTCCATGATTTTAGGCATAAGCAACGCACGAACAAATTAAATCAGATACGGACATTTTAGCTCCATTATCTTTGTTCCTGTAAAAGATTACTTGTGTAACAACTGAGGGTAAAGAACATAGGATTTACCTTTTCATAGCAAATGCTTTCCAGGCTAGTTCCCATTTTTGGAAGATAGAAGTTGAAGTAGTCGTAAAAAATTGCAAGGGCTAGTCGTGGAGCATCAATAAGCTTCCGATGGATGGATGCAGAAAGAATCAGTAACTTCTCGATGTGCTCAAAAACTTGACAAAGCCGTTTCAGGTCTCCAGCCAAATCATTGACATCAGAATTCCCTGTTAAAACAATGGCCTGAGTATTCATGCCAGTGACCGGTGCTCAACATCCTCAAAGTTCTCTCTAGTTATTATGTGGAGCAAGCACCACTCCCGCGGTGGCAAGAATCCAGCGACAGGTTAGGCAGCATCATCTTCAGTAAGTTTCATCAGAGTTAACCATTCATTTAGAGTTTGTTAGCAGGATTGATTAGTTGATTGGTTTGTTAGCTTGTGAGAAATGATAGAAGATTGGTTGGCTTGTTGCCTATGTAAACCCATCTGATGTATCCTCGAAAGCTAAGCAATGAGAAAATCTCCACATTGCCGATCACGACTACCACCTGCATAGTCCGGGTCCCGTTCCCCCACACCACAACACTAGTCCCTAAAGGATGGCTGGCTTACAGCTCATAATCCAGGCTGTGTTTTATAGCTGTATCCTCGATGAACAATATTATTAACGGCATTACACATTTCAAACTGGATATTGGTTGCATTGTTAAACAAATAGAAGGATAAGCGAACACAAAAGGTTATCTTTAGAAGAGAAGGTCTCCTGTGAATATCAATCCATAAATACTTCTTTCAAAATGTAAAGTCTACAGTTCACACAGCTGTATGGAAAGTATAGTACCTTGAAGAGATTTCAGTGTTGACGCCATGGTGGCATATAGCTGATCCATTTTTGTCTTCATTTCCTTGAAGCCACCATACATGGTCTTATTCAGGATATCAGCTGACGATTTGAAAGCAGTGCACACCATTTGCTCAAGGAGCTGCTGTGGCCTCAAAGTTTCAAGGTAATGAAGCACCTGCGTATCACATATATAAAATGCTGAATAAGTAGCATGCTAGTATTTTATCGATAGTAAGAACTAAGATGCTATCTAATATTCATGAAGAATTGAAGGTCATGGTCCTGCTTTTAAAGTGATCATCCAACCCCGTACAGTTCAAAAACCCCACCTTCCAGCAAAATAAAATGTGTGCTGCTTAAGTTGTAGTTTGTTTATATGAAAAATCATATGGCACCCAATGTTCACGCGTACTGGACATCACGACCGCATCCATGAAATCTCAAGATTTGTTTTCATGGCAAACGAGTTGATGGCACTATCGATGACCTTCTTTATCTCATGGTATAGACAACACAGCCGAGCGAATGGTTAGTTGATGGCGGTGGTGGAGCAACAGTGTTGGGAGATGGGGGAGCGAGTGCCAGTGGCCGGCGGCGGCGGTGGAGGTTGGTGGCTGCGGAGCAGCAGGATTGGATTAGGATTTCGAGGATGGCTCAAATAATCACCAGGCTTAGAGGTGTCTTGGGAGGTAGGACAAACCAGCGGGGCAGCGGGCGGCAGGCGGCTTGGCCGGGTGGTAAGGGCGCTGCAGGCGGGCGGTGGGAGGCTGGTGTTGGGGAGTGATGGTTCAGGGGCTGCCGGAGTGTTCCGTGGAGGGCGAGGTGGAGAAGGCAGGGGCAGTAGGTGAATGTCGAAGTCATCGCTGGCCATGGGCTGCTGTGGAGATCACGGTGGGGCGCCTGGGATGCAGAGGAGGAAGGGCGGGAGGAGGTAGAAGGATCAGTTTCCACCGGAGTTGGAGATGACAGCAGGTGCCCAGATGTCATTGTTTGCACTTTATCAAGATCACGTCCATAGATGGTCCAGATGTAGAAGGATGGCTGGGATGCAGAGGCAGCAGAGCTAGAAGGATCCGTTTCCACCAGATCTGTTTGTCTTGCACCTCAAGTTCGCATGGAGGGTCCAGATGTCCAGGACACGGGAACACCTGGGCACAGAATCTGCTTTCTTTCTTTATTTTAATAATTACAACAACAACAACAACAAAGCCTTTTAGTCCCAAGCAAGTTGGGGTATGCTAGAGTTGAAACCCAACATGAGCCCCTAGTAACGGTTCAGGCGTTTATTTTAATAATTGAAACATTTAATTTACACTTCGTTAGTAATTGCATTGGTCGTTTGTAATTGAATAGTACAGTAGTACTCCATCCGATTCAAATCGTAAGTCATTTTGGCTTTTCTACACTATGTCTAGATACATAGTAAAAACTATGTATTTAGAAAAGCCAAAACGACTTAGAATTTGGAATGGAGGGAGTAACTTTCTAGCACAAAATGCCGCTAGCCATCCTATAAGTAATAAGGCGATGAAATTACCAGCACATGGGTAGTACCTTTTCTCCTTCCCGAACAGGGTCAAGCAAAGACTTCTGTTCGGAAACAGGCAATGGCGGAGCATCATTCCAGATTTTGCGCCACACATTCCCATGTTCGGACATACGCTGAGAAAGCTTTCCTTTGGGAGGCCAGCCTGCATTACCATCTGTTTTGTCCTCACTCACCCAGTCACCAGGTGAATGCCACCGAATAAAATCTTCAAAGACAGCATCTGGGTTTGCAGCTTTAAAAGCAGACATATCTA